TTGGCTTTTGTGTTCCACAGAAGAAAAAGTCAGTGACGTCATTTTCATTTTTGGGTGAACTATGCCTTAATTTGTGTTATTAATTAATGATTAACTCATTTTAGTCTAAAAAGATAATTTCATAACCTTCAATACAAAGCACATTCAGATATTTTTATGGTTCACAGCATAGATCTTAATGTTAACATACTATCTACTATATAGTTTGTGTATGATTATTTATTACATTTTAATTTGTTAAATGTTTTCAGTGAATGGCTGGGTTTATTAAAGGTGTCGTATGTATTTTTTGACATTACTAAAGCATAAAATACCATTAAATGTGTGCTGATACTGTATTTAGTTAAGATGCTAAGTTCACATACATGTTCCTCCACAAAACAATGCAGCAGCCATTTACTGTACTTTGAAATGTCTGTTCTGTGTCAAAATGTCTGGTTTTGTTTTGGTCTGTGTGATTTCACCCACTGTCAGTTTAACCAGTATTATTTTGATACCCTGTGTGGCCAGTTGGCAGAAAAAACAGCGTATGGAAGCCAGCAAATGAACTGTGTCAGAGTTTCCAGATTCTACCTGACCTGATCTAAATCTCTGTAACCAGACACATTAAAATGCGGATAAATAAACTCATCAACTTCTGTTGTTAGAGCTGGATAGTAACTTCTTATATGTAATCAGATTCCAAATATTATGAACTTGTAATTAGAGGACATTACATTTAAAAATGCTCATAATGAGATTACAGGTACTTTTTATGGATTACATAATTTATTTGATAATTGTGATTGCATATTATTTACACAATGGCCGTAAATTATTCATAATTGATGCAGTGATTCCCAAATGTTTTTGTCAGCCAAACTCCTTAAAATAAAATAGTTTAGTTAATATCTAAATAATTGAACAACACATTCACATGTTTAAAGTTATCTGGTATTGTTTAATGCTCATATTAACATGCAGGTAAACAAATACAATATTTCTATTTTTAAGTGTTTACATTCTTTTTTTTATACATTTTTATATTTTACATCAGTGAAACCCTGGTGTAATGTAATATTTAATGCATTTCATGATGTTAACATGAAACAAATATTTTCTTTCTTTTTGCTTTTTATTTTAAATGAAAATGTGATAATGTAATCCAAAACTAATCTAAGAAGTAGTCAGAATACTTGACCTAAAATGAGTAACCTAGATCAGTTTTCATCATGTAATCAGTACCAGACTACAATTTGTAATCGTAAGTAATCTACCCTTCACCGCAGCGTGTAAGGCTTGTTTCCTTCCTTTGATATTTGCACTGGTTCCTGTCCTCAATCTGGCAACCCGCGTGAGCGTCGAGTCTGAGGAGGA